GGATTGTGATGCCCATAAGGTGATCTTCCTCTTGCTTCAACCTGATTCCACCACTATGTCTGTGACCTGCCCCCCAGACCTAAAGAGAAGACATCTAAGTTTAAACTCCATTTCCATCTACCTAAATTGAGAAATGCTGCAAGGAAATATTAATCCTGGCAATGAGAGGCCATAACTGGTTCAGCCTGAAAGTAGCCCTTGGAGGATGTTGCTGGAATAATAATCCAAATAACAGATAACAAATAATCAGCGTTGGAAGGGAGCTTGTAGGTCATCTAGTCCAACCCCCCACCCAAGCGGGAGACCCTACACCATTTTTGACAAATGGCAGTCTAATCTCTTCTTGAAGGTCTCAAGTGATGGCGCTCCCACAACTTCCGAGGACAAGCTGTTCCATGGGTTGATTGTTCTCACTGTCAGAAAGTTTCTCCTTATTTCCAGGTTAAATCTCTCCTTGTTCAATTTCCATCCATTATTCCTTGTCTGGCCTACAGAAGCTTTAGAAAACAGCTTGACCCCTTCCTCTCTGTGTCAGCCCCTCAAATATTGGAAGACCGCTATCATGTCTACCCTGGTCCTTCTCTTCACTAGACTAGCCAAGCCCAGTTCCTGTAATCGTTCTTCATATGTTTTAATCTCCAGTCCCCTAATCATCCTGGTTGCTCTTCTCTGTACTTTTTCTAGAGCCTCAACATCTTTTTTATAATGTGGTGAACAGAACCGGATGCAGTACTCTAGGTGTGGTCTTAGAGTGGTATTAGTACCTCCCTTGATCTTGATTGTATCAAATGGCAACATCATCATCAATGCAATAAAATTAGTAGGAACTACACACATACAAAAGCTTTTCTCATCAGAAAGAGCAAAAAAACCTATAGTGCATCCATTTAGGATATAACCTGCACAAATCTCTTCCCTATTTCTAATGAGCCAAGCTATCCCTTTCCTTACAGACAGGTCTTCATAGATGGAAGATGGTTCAACCAGCAAATACAAGGAGAAGATTGCCTCCACAAGCAAATGCTTCTGCCCTGACAATGGAGCAGCCAGCCTTGTTCCCCCACCCCATCCCCAAGTTATAAAGTCAGTATAAAAAGGGTCACATGGAATCTATTCTTGTGCAAAACAGTAGAAAACTTGTAATGGGACACATTCCTTCCCCATCCTTTTCTTTTCCAGACCACTCTTCCAATCTTTTGACAGACAGTTGGACTCATATTTAAGAACAGATTTGTCAGTCTTCCTCTAAATGTGTATGCCAGGGTGTATTTGTAGTCCACATGATGTCTTAACAGTGCTTTCTGAACTACAGGACAGGCATTGCATAGGTAGATGCCTTTATGGAAACGACTGTCTCTTCTCTTTTGAAATTCAAGTCAGAGCAGTGTCCACTGACTGGAGGGGAGGACCCATGCCATGGCAGCATATGGCCAATAGTTGGATAGATGCTAGCCTTGACCTTCCCCTCCCCCCACCCCCCATCCCCACAAGTCTCCCATTTAATTGTGAGAAACAGGCTACTAAAGCTACTTGGATATCCAGGCTGTATTCTGTGCAACCACTAGATAGCAGCAAACAAGAGGGAAAAAAAAATATGTCAAGAGTTTTTATGGTCCAGATCTAGTAATGCTAATTAAAAAAAGGCCAAGAATTCTCCACATGTGTACGACATATAGGGGAGACAATAGAAGGAGCTAGGTGTGTGTATAAGGAAAAATATAAATAAAACATGTCAGGGCAGAAAAAAATAAATAAAGTTGTGTATTCAAAAGAAAGGATGCTTTAGACCGGATGTAAAGGAAGAGGTCACTAAACATTTTGCCTGGGAATACAAGGACAACTTTTGCTGGACAGAACACAGATTAGCCACCAACATTTAGAATGGAATGTGAAACAACTATTGGGTTCAAAAATGGGAAAGGAGGGTGCCGATGCATATTGTCATCAATCTATTTAAATTATATATAGAATATATCACCAGATATGGTAGGGAGACAGAAGAAACAATTTCGGTAGATAGAAATGAGGAAGAAGTAAGATATTTCTTTCAGAAGAAAAGATAGATGTGGCAAAAGCCAACCTGTTGCTCAAAATCAAACATCCTAAAAATGTATTGGTTGCTAGTGCCACCATAATGCAAATAGAGCAAATAGCAGATTTGATAATATAGGGTCTATTTTCCTGGGTTCCAAAGTCCACAAGGATGCAGATATATCACACTACCATCAAGGCCATGGTCTTCCCTGTTACAACCTATGGCTGTGAAAGCTAAGCCATCAGAAAGACTGAGCAAAGAAAAAAATCAATCTCTTTACACTGGAGGAAATTGTTGACAATATCTTGGACAGCAAGAACAACGAAGTTTCATACAAGATGAATAAAAACAGATTCTCATTGGAATAACATGGAGAATGTGTTGTCTCTGGGGTGGGGTTTATTTTATTATTTTATATTTTATATTTTATAGTATATATTATATATTATATATTATATGGGTGGGGGGCATTCAGCTTTGTTCGGGTATTTTCCCATGTCATTGTAGTTGTGCTTTTAAAGTTGTAGCAACGTTTCGGCAGATTCTCAACTGCCATCATCAGAAACCTGATGATGGCAGATGAGATTCTGCTGAAACGTTGCTACAACTTTAAAAGCACAACTACAATGACATGGGAAAATACCTGAACAAAGCTGAATGCCATCCATATATATATGTATATGTATATGTGTGTGTTTGTATGTATGTATATATATATATATATATATATATATATATATATATATATATGTAATATTATTGTAAGCCACCTTGAATAGGCAAATAAGGCGGAAATATAAATTTCCAAATAAAATAAAATAAAAATAAAATAATAAAGTTAGATATTTTGGACACATAATGCATAATCTCTTATGACAGGCATGCTTTAACTGGATATCTTAACTAAGTGACATTGTACGAAGAGAGCCATATCAGTCCAAGATAGTCAAAAAATCAGCAAGACATTGGTAACACCTTTGAAAATTAAAACTGAAAGTGAGCTGTAGTTCACCAAAACTTAAAAAATGTGATACTTAAGAGGTGCTATATAGACTATTTCTGGTTCTAGGTAATTTGGAACTTGACTTGCTGACTTAAAGAATCTTTTGAATTGTATGACTGTATGAAGGCATGAGCTTCCGTTTTCCAAATGAGGTTGCAACATCTTGAGATAATTTTTCTGTAGAGTTCTGAAAAAGAATAGATTAGTCTCTTAGTAAAAAAAATAGGGGAAATTACTGCTTAGAGTAGCAAACCATAAGCATACACTGTAAGGACCGAAGTAGCATGCATTATCCAAAATTAACCAATTAAAGTGAAAATTTAGAAAAATATGGACCAGGAAACAAAGAAGCAGCCAATGCCAGATTGTTTATTAGCATTCTTACTGCCATGTTCTGTCTTAATTAACTATGCTGAATCTTCTTTATTAAAACAGATGCTGCACCTTTAACCAGAGAGCAACTAGATCTTGTGTAAAGGAAACAAGACACCAGCCATGTTGAAGTGCTGCCAATCTTTCCTTGAACTCACATCAAATTCCCATATTGCCACATCATTTGATTTACTCCAAGAAAGTTTAAGCATCTTACCTACCTTGAGGCAATGCTTAAACAATCACCCATTAACAAGGGGGAGTACCAGAATGACTGACTTAAACCTGCTATGTTCAGACCTCGGATCATGTGGCATATAGCGGAAAACAGGATATTCTGTTAAACATAGGGGTTTGGAATTATTTTATTGTTTGTTTGTTTGTCTGAGCACAGCAGGTTGTATCAGCACAATAACTGCATTTTGCTAATCAGCATTTAAGTCCGTGATGTGTGAACCAAAGAGACAAAGAGAAGCCAAAGAGCCAACGAGAAGCAGAGATTTGAAATTAGTAGAGTGGAGTAGGGTTGGGTAGGGTAGAATACAGAATAGAACAGAATAGAATATAGAATAGAATATAGAAGAGAATATAGAAGAGAATATAAAATAGAATATAAAAAAATAGAACAGAATATAGAAGAGAATAGAACAGAACAGAATATAGAATCGAATAGAATAGAATATAGAATCGAATAGAATATAGAATAGAATATAAAATAGAATAGAATAAAATATAGAACAGAATAAAATATAGAATAGAATAAAACATGAAATAGAACAGAATATAGAATAAAATAGAACAGAACAGAACAGAATATAGAATAGAATAGAATATAAAATAGAATAGAATATAGAATAGAATAGAACAGAATATAGAACAGAATAGAATATAGAATAGAATAAAACATGGAATAGAATAGAATATAGAATAGAATAGAGCAGCGGTAGTCAACCTTTTTATACCTACCACTCACTTTTGTATCTCTGTTAATAGTAAAATTTTCTCTAACCGCTCACGGGTTCCACAGTAATGGTGATTTATAAAGTAGGGGACAAAAACCCTACTGCCCACCATGAAAGCTGGAACACCCACTAGTGGGCAGTAGGGACCAGGTTGACTACCACTGGAATAGAATATAGAATAGAATAAAACATGGAATAGAATAGAATAGAATAGAATCTGGAAGGGACCTTGGAGGTCTTCTAGTCCAGCCTCTTGCTCAAGCAGGAAAGACCCAGAACCATTTCAGTGCGCGATCTCATCTGTTTGATAGCACACTTTTTCCATCCAAATTCGCCACTTTCCCCCCAGTCCCATCCCCCAAAAATCCCCTCCGAGAACGTGCACGGGATTGCTGAGCCTGGAATGCAAAACGAAGAGAAGCCGCGGCCTCCTTGGGGCGAAGGGGAGAGCGACGCTTTTCCAGGATTGCACAAGACTTGGCTCTCCGGCACGGCACGGAACCCCGCCCCTTTTGCTGAATGCGGTGGGGTTTTCGAAGTGAGCTCATTCTTGGAATTCCCGGCCCGCCGCTCTTCCCTCCTCCCTCTTCGAAACCACCATATATATATAAGCGGAGAGGGCCATGGAGACCGTCAGACGCTTTCCAGGATCTCTCACCGAGCCAACCTCGCCTCTCCTCGCCTCAACCCTCGCCAACTATGCGCGCTTCCGCTCAGACTGCCGGCGCTCTCGCGCTGCTGGCGCTGCTGGTTCTGATGCTGAGTTCTTCGATTCTAGGTCAGTCCGGGCAAGTCCGGGGGTGGGGGAAAGGGAGGGAGGAAGAAGGGGATGAGGGCGGGGAGTGGTTGTCCCCAAACCACTTTTCCTTCTCTTTAAAAATCACGGTTTCTCTCTGCCTCTAAGAAAAGGGAAGGTTGTTGGAGAACTTCTTGGTCGAAATAGGCCCGTTGTTTCCCTCCCACGAGGTGTAATGACCAAACGGCGCTTCATTGCAACCCTTTGGAACCGATTGGTCAAAGGCAGGAGCAGTTCAGGAAAACCCTTAGGGCAGGGGGTCTTCAAACTGGGCCACTTTAAGACATGCTGGCTGGGGAATTCTGGGAGTTGAAGTCCCCAAGTTTTAAAATGGCCAAGTTTGGAGATCCCTGCCTTAGGGTAACCTTGTCCTCAAGTAACTACTATTCATTCAATGACTGTTGGAAGTTACCATGGTGTTGAAGAAAAGGGTTTCTTCTAACCAGACCTCGAAGTTAAATAAGACTTTCTGATAAGCGTTTTTATGTAAAGAAAAGGAACAAAATCTTTCGGAAGCATTGGTGCAGAGTGTCTCTTCCGACATTGCTGCATAATTAGCCCTCTTCTTCCGGTTATTCTGGAGTCCCAGGACTCCAGAGAAAAACAAACAAATGAATTTTTGACAACCACAAAGTCTTATTGTCTTTTATTGCAGAAATCAACAATTGTTCTTCCACTCACTTGCGTTTTTCATTTCCTCCCATAGCATATGATTCCCCAACCTCCTGCTGCTTCAGCTACACAAAAAAGAAGATTCCACGTAATCTTGTGACTGATTTCTATGAAACAAACGGCAGATGCTCTCAGCCAGCTGTTGTGTAAGTGTCAATTCCACAGCAATTTCAGCAGTCGCGCATAGAGCAAGTATAGTGAGTCCGGACTTAAAGCATCCTCATAGATCTAACGCCACTACTTCTTCGTATATGTACCTGCTAGAGCAAGGATAGTTAACATAATCCGTGTGCTGCAGATGACTTCCAAATTCTCCTGAAATTTGATTACTGACATTTAGAGCCAAAGAGCTGATACATTGCTCACTAATATTTTATAATATGAAAAAGGAGAAAGAAAGGGAATAGCTTTATTATGGCCTTGCAACAAAAATAATGAAATATTATTTAATTATTATATGCATGTACTGCCATAATCAACCCCCATTTTTCTGCCCACAAGCCAGTAAAAGAGTTAAACATCTAAAACAAATTTAAAACAATTAAAAGCAATAATGAAACAAAGTGTTATTCACAGAAGCCAAAAATTTGGCTCAAGGGGAATGTTCTTGAACTTTTTTTCTGAAAGTGAAAAGAAAGTAAATTCCACAACTTAGGAACAATATTGAGAAATTAATTTTCACATAAGCTTTTCTAAATAACCATACATTTTACTGGATGTATGGAATATAGTTCCTACTATTTTGGTAAGGGCAGGAATAAAAAGATATGACATCATTGCCAATAAAAAAGCAAATATAACAAAACATTTCTTTCATTCATCTATATTAATATATTAACAGGGTTTGCACATCAGGGAAATCCATACAGTGTATGACATACAAATCCATACAGTGTTAGTTTATTTTGAAAAACCAATTAACTGGTTTATTTTAAACGTGGCTAAAATACATCTAGTTTAGTGCTTTATGTAAATTAAATGGTATGATAACAAACCTTGGTCTTTTTTTAATTGTGAGAAATGTTACGACGTTTTCTAATGCATCTTCAATAATGTGCTCTCCAGAAGTATGTACTTCAGCAATCTGAATGGCTAGAGTAACTACAGTATTATGGTGAAGCCTGGGGATTCTGGGAGGTCAAATCAGTCTAGCTGAGGATCCCAATTTGGGATGGTCATCCTAATGAAATTATGTAATTTCCGTATTTCAGGGAGGAGGCCAGTTTTCCAGATTAAAGTTTGATGATTAGGTCCTTGAAACCATATATGCTACCTTTCATGCTTAGCATAATTGCTATGTGGAATAATATAAAGGAAAACAGGAAGTGTTGGAAATTAGAGTTCAGGTGAAGCAGAATGTGTGATTTTTTTAAAAAAAACCAATAAAAGCAGTGCGATTGGTGCGAAAATAAAATTGGAAAGTAATTTTTGTTATTCTTATTATTCCCTCCAGGTTCATCACACGGAGAAAACTACTGTTGTGTTCCAATCCTGCTGAGAAGTGGGTCCAAGATTATATGAATTACTTGAAAGTGAACAGAACAGTGTCTACAACTCAGGCGTATTAGCAGAGATGAAAACCCAAGGATACAACACGATTGCATATATACTTGCTTAATCAAGCAATTCTCCCTGTGTAACTGCACTTTAATCTCAGGAATTTATTTTAAAATATTTAAAGTATTTTATTTGGGGAATGAATGTTCATTCCTGGTAATTATTTTATTTATGAAACAAGTACAAGATAAATAACTTTTTATAAGTTTGTGTATTTGCGTGTTATAATATATATCAAACTGAAAAAATACTTGTGTTAATAAATATTTTTCTACTAATATTGATCGCTAAAGACTTATTTCCTTCCACCACCCTCCACAAATTGTGGGAAAACTCTGCCTGAATATTTTCCAAATCTATAAGCCACCACACTCTTTATATGTTCACATTCTATTTTAAGTTAATAGCTATACTTAATAGCTATATTAGTTAATTAACTGGGTACTATTCTGTGTGTTCCTACCATACAACAGCAATAGCAATAGGTCTTAGACTTATATACTGCTTCATAGTGGTTTACAGCCCTCTCTAAGTGGTTTACAATGTTAGCATATTACCCACAACAGTCTGGGTCCTCATTTTACCGACCTCAGAAGGATGGAAGGCTGAGTCAACCTTGAACAGGTCAGGATCAAACTCCAGACAGTGGACAGAGTCAGCTTGCAATACTGCATTCTAACTGTGCCACCATGCTGGTTTTCTGAAGATATGTATTTTATTCAAATCAGTTAACTTTCCATATAGCCAAGGTAATTAAAGTTTGAAAATTACATGTAAAAACCTGCAAAATGTTTATATAGGTAGCCTGCAACTTAAAATCATTCACTTAGCGACTATTCAGAGTCACAGCATTGAAAAAAGTGACTTACAAACCAGGTTTTTCATTTGTAATCACCAGAGCATCCCCACAATCACATGATCAAAATTCAGATGCTCGGTAAATGTATTTTCGATGGTTATGATGTCCCAGAGTCATGTGTTGCCATTTGCAATCTTTCCAGCCAGCTTCTGACAAAGTCAATAGGGGATACCCAATTTGCTTAATTATATAATTCACTGAACAACTGCAGTGATTTGCTTAGCCTTTCTCTGTTCACTATGACAGGTTGTCAGATTGGCCGTGACTCACTTAACAACAATTTCTGCCTAGCAACAGAAATTCTGATCCTAACTGTAGTCACAAGACAAGGATTACCTGTATCGAAGTACTAAAACAAGAGCACTAGTATTTAACCAACCAGATGTTCTCAAGACCAATTCTCTTGTACAACAGATGATAACTGAATATGAGGGCTACTCCTTGCAATTTCTCCAACCCAGTGGGTATTTGTGGACTTTTTATGTCTAGAATCTCTAGCCAATTCTCTGACTTCACCACCAGAAAAAATATTACAAATGTTGACCTCACTAACTCATTTGTAATTATTTTAAATTACATTCCCTATTACAAGACTTTATCTCTCAGAACACTTCTCCAAAGAATTTTGATGCTTTCTCTTATAAAAGGGGAATCTTCAATCAATATTAAAGGCTGCTTTTTTCCCCATAGCTTCTTTTGATGTGAAGTTCTGCCTTTTGAGGTGAAGGACAAATAAACAGATTAACTGATTAACAGATAGTCAGAATTGGAAGGGACCTTATAGGTAATCTAGTCCAACCCCCCACCCAAGCCGGAGACCCTACACCATTTCTGACAAATGGCAGTCCAATCTCTTCTTGAAAGTCTCAAGTGATGGTGCTCCCACAACTTCTGAGGGCAAGCTGTTCCATTGGTTGATTGTTCTCACTGTCACAAAGTTTCTCCTTATTTCCAGGTTAAATATCTCCTTGTTCAGTTTCCATCCATTGTTCTTTGTCTGGCCTACAGGTGCTATAGAAAATAGTTTGACCCCTTCCTCCCTGTGGCAGCCCCTCAAATATTGGAAGACTGCTATCATGTCTCCCCTGGTCCTTCTCTTTACTAGACTAGCCAAGCCCAGTTCCTGCAACCGTTCCTTGTATGTTTTAGCCTCCAGTCCCCTAATCATCCTGGTTGCTTTTCTCTGTACTTTTTCTAGAGTCTCAACATCTTTTTTATAATGTGGTGAACAGAACTGGATGCAGTACTCTAAGTGTGGTCTTACTAAGGCTTTATGGAGTGGAAGAAGAAGAAGAAGAAGAAGAAGAAGGAGAAGGAGAAGGAGAAGGAGAAGGAGAAGAAGAAGAAGAAGAAGAAGAAGAAGAAGAAGAAGAAGAAGAAG